AAAAGCATGTGTTCCTCCTTGATGAAAGAGACTCTACAGTTTACTTCAAGGAAACACCTTCATGACTTAAAAATTGCTACTATGTCAACTTCTAAATGTCACATGGCCTCTTCCATAGCATCAGTCTAGCGACAAAGCCTTTAAATTCTAAAGATCCAGACCATAGCAGCATCTGTGTCTAGGTCTTATAATTGGATCATCGCTATAGTCGAGATACACGTGTTCGGGAAAACAGTGCAGGCTGGGTGAAAGCTAACATGTCAATTAGTACTCTCATCTCAAAGCAGGCGAAGAAGAAAACATCCTGTTGTTTTAGGTGGCACATCTTAACTTAAATAATCCTTCCCAAGGGAAGACATTTCTCACCACAATGCTCTCCTATATAGGACACATTCCATTCCACTCTGCCTCAAAACTGGCTAATAAACCCACAACCTGCTGTTTCCTCCCTGAGCCTCAATGAAGGAGGACTCTACAGTCTGCGACTCCATTCCTCCTCCTGCACAAGCCACATGGAAGCTCCATTTGTTTACAAATATAATTTGCAATAAATACCGACTTTAGGGGATTTCTCTTGGAAGTCTGTGATGGCTCTCTTGCATATTTCATAAACAGGAAAGCAAGTGTGTTAAGGTGCTAAGTAGGGAGAGACGCTTTACATAACTGTTGTGGCTGGGTGTGCTCACTTTCTGCTCTCAGCTCACTCTTCCCAGCAGCATTTAATGAGGCAGCAACATAAACCTGCTGTGCCAATGGTGCTATTGTCCTAATAATGAGGAAGCATGCTCCTCTCTCAGGCTTGGTAAAATTCCGTACTCTGCCTTCTCAGGGGAAGAGGAAATGCAGTCTCCAAGAACAGCTCAAGGTTTCCTAAACCTTGACTGTTTGGGAGTTTATGAAGTTATAAAAAACTAACATGGACATTTAGATCTTGCATATTTTGGGGTCTCTTTAGAGAGCACCTTTCTTCTGTTGATATGACTTATACTGGCCATAATAATTGTCTATTCATTGAGGCATAAGCAAGTTATAGCTGCATAAGAGCCTGTATGTCAGTAACTTTTTTCTCTTTATCTACATTTTGAAAGTAAAGGAGACAAACTTGGTCAGCTTATCTCTTGGAAACAGGACTGCTGAATGAATGGCAAGTGTATTCACTGCTAACCTCCAGATGGAGGGGGTAGGCCTGTCTTACAGCCTCGATCTCATCTTCTAAAAGAAAGCATGGTAGTGTTGCAGACACAATAAGAAAACTGTGCCAGGGAGCCCTCAATAATTGACAGCAAGTGAATTGAGTACCTACAATTGAATACCACGAAAATGGCTGGTAGTACTCAGGGAGTGGCTTTGTTATGAGGAACAAGTGTGCTCAAAAAGAAGGAAGGTCACTGGACTCTTTCTTAAAGGTGTTCAGAGATGGGTTAAATAGTAAACCTTATAAGTCAGTTTTTAAATGCCTTATCCCCATGTGTAAAAATATAATTTAGTAATATTTCACTTCTGAAAGGTGATACCCAATAGAAAGTTAGACTTTCTATTTAAGATTATTTTTTTCTTTCAGATATACAATTAGAAGCCTAATTAGATACTAAGATAAAGACAGTCTTTACACTTGAGAATGTTTAAACCGCCGATTTTGCTCCCACACATTTTTGGAGAGGTGGAAAATGCTGATATACTTTTTCCGTAGTCAGCTCTGTGCACTCAGACACTAGAGCTGAGGACAAACATGAGGATTTGTACTTTGTCCCTTTATCAACAGGTTAGCTTGTTTGTTTTTAGGTAATTGAACTCATGTTGGATTAAGAAAGGAGATATTTTATTTCCCACAATTTTTTATACATCGTGGTAAGATTTGAAGGTTTTAAGTTGCTCTCAAACCAAATGTGAGAGTAGGGTCATAGAAAAGTCAACCCCTCGGCTTCCTTCTCCAGCACAGGACCTCTGAGTGTAAAAATGCTTTGTGCTAAAAGCTATTTTGATCCTGCATTCTCTGTCAAAGACATGTCACTGCCCTCTGGTAAAGTCAAACCTATGAACTCAACGATGAGGTAGCGCTTTATTGAATTTTTAACACCAAAAACTTAGATTCAACAGGACTATGAATAAATTCTCATCATGTGTTTCTTTTCCTTGGATATAGTCACATACTTGAAGGGACAATATTTCTCTAAAGCATGCCTGCTTTATTTTATTTATTTATTTATTATTATTCTCTAGTGTATGACATTATCTCATGTATTACATTTCTCTTCCATTGCCTCCCCCAGTCTCTCTCGCCACCTCCCCTCTCCCCGAGATCCAGCCCCCCTCTGCCTCCCCTCAGAAAAAAAACCTGCCCTCCCCCCTCAGGGACATCAAACAAACAGCATAACAAAGTAAAAGAAGACCTGGCACAGACCACATCAAGGCTGGATGAGGCAACCCAGTAGGAGAAGACAGGTCCCACAAGTGGGCAGACGAGTTAGAGGCAGCGCCTGCTCCCACTGTTAGGAATCCCACAGGAACACCAGCTGCTCAGCCATAACATACATGCAGAGGTCCCACGTCGGACCCCTGCAGGCTCCCTGCTCCCCCGAACCCCCCCGTGAATGCCAGGCACCTGGAACTGCCTGCTTTATCTTACGTGAAATATGCTGTGTGCTACGTATATAAGCAAGGTATACTTTGAATGCTAACATCAGGATGCATACTCTCAGTTATTTGTTTTTAAGGAAAGATTCAGAAAACTGTTTGAAAAGGCACACGTGTGAAAACCTAAACTGGCCAGGGGTGGTGGTGTATACCTTTCATCACAGCACTCACGAGGCAGAGGCAGGGGGATCTCTGTGAGTTCTAGGACAGCCTGCTCTACAAGCAAGTCCAGGACAGCCAGGGCTGTGTTACACAGAGAAACCCTATCTCGAAAAACTAAATAAAAAGTTTTAAAAATCTAAACTGTGAGTTTGTTTGTTTGTTTGTTTATTGCCAACAAGCTTCATGTAAAATGGGAATGAACTGACTTCTCAGAATCGACAGGAAAGTTGAGTGTTCCGAAATTACAACCTGAAATCTGAACTACCCCAGCTCTGAAACTTTTGAGTACTGACAAACCACCACCAGGGAATGCTCTATGTGTGACCTCATGTGACAGTTGCAGATGAGATTCGGGAAAACTGAAAATATTGCATAACACGACCTTCACGCCATGTGTATTAGGTCTAAACAGAGCAAAGAAACCCTGGTTTAGATCTGGGGCCTATTTCCAAGATAAGTCATTAGGTGTATGCAAGTCTTCCTACCCCTCCAAAATATCTAAATGCCAAATATTTCTGATCCCGAGCACTGCTGATAATGGGTACTTTATAATAGCAAACCTGGCTGTTGATGTTACTGCTTTTGCTACAGCTTATTGCTATGCTGTGAAGTTACTGTATCTTTAAGCTAGAGAATGACTATTGCCTTCTTAATTGTACCACTCTTACCTCCGAGAAACTTTTCTGCCAACAAGCTAGCTCTTTCTTCTTTGTTCTCCTCTGTTCACAAACATTCTTCAGTATCCCTTATCCTACCAACATTTTTCTCAACCTTATAGCCCACTGACACTATTGTTCCTTCTAGCTGTACCCTTTCTGACCCTATCAGCTAACTGTTAAATGCCTGTGGATTTTAGCTCTAGTTTTACATTTTTAAAAATTCATTAGTGAATGTTTTTCCTGAAAATGACTAAAATTGCTAATACTTTTTAGAATTATGTTATTTCACATGTATGAATGTTTTTGCCTGTGTGTATAGGTGACATATTACATGCCTGCTGCTTGTGCAGGTCCTAAGAGGGTGTTGAACATCTGGAATTGGAGTTATAAATGGTTGTGAGGCACCATGTGGGTGCTAGGAACCAAACCCAAGTCCTCTGAAGAGAATCAAGTACTGTTGATGGGCCCTCTTTCTAGCATCTGTTAATATGGATTTTAAACAGAACAAAAGAACAGATAGCATGAAAGGGATTTACCAACAAGTATCCTCAGACCTAAAACACATTTAAAATATGTTTTTTGAAGAGGGTCAGTAAAAAAATATCTGTGACCTTAAAACTTCAAAAACAACAGTTAGATTCATGGCCACTCTCGTCAAAGCAAACAGTTGATATTTTCAATGTGTCAAAAAAAAAAAAAAAAAAGACTGACTTCTAGTATAGAATTCTGTGCTCTGTGAAAATATCCTGCAAGAGTAAATGAAGGTATTTTTATCTGGCCAGAGATGACCACTCCTCCATTCTCCTCCCTCTCTGTTCCACACCAGAGTTTTCTTGCTGTGAGGTCTCTGGCATGGCTCTGATAGCTTCACTCACAAAATAAGATTGTCATGTATTCTAATGAGTTGCTAGTGGCTATGAGACAATAAGATAAACATGATTTTACTGATAGTTTCCTCTTCACCTTCAGCTTAGCTGGACAGACACTCCTAGCCTTATATATTAGCCCTTCATAGCTATAGTAACATCATGATATTGAGATTTAAAGTAATGTATTATTGCTTTGTACTCCAAAAGTAACTTGATCTTGCACACATTCATTATATAGAAACATTAGTTACAAATCTTTCAAAGGAAAAAGGTCTAAACTGATATATTGCCTTATTATTCTCTTAAAATATCATCAGAAAAAAATGCATAAAATGAATTGGGAAGGCCCAAAACCCTTAGGTGAAAAATAAAAACTATTTTTTAATCCATGAAAGGTGTATAAATCAGTCACAAATACAAATCCATTGTGACCCAAGTCAAATTCCAACTCAGATGGCATACAGGCAAATGCAGACTTTGCTGAATTTTAAAATACTTGTTAGAATCCGCCATTGAGCTGCTGTTGTGCAAACGCTGGCATGCTGTGAATCTCTTTCCTCTGAAATGATACTAAAACTTCTTTCTTTTTTTCCCCCCATACTCTGTTCTCTGGCTTCCTCTCCAAATCCGCTGGTGTGTCTAACCCCTTTATGGTGGGTGTGCTCCTCTCCATCAGCCATGTGGGTAGTTGAACCAAACTCTGCTACCTGCCTTTCTGCGGCCCTGCCTGCCAAGAGACACTGCCAGGAATCCAGGTTGGTTGTGGGGCCTGGGGTCCAGGGGATTATAATGCCAAGTCACGATCAGGGTGGTCTTCGTAACCCCAGTACCCATGTGGCCCCAGGGCACATGGCTGAATATTTTGACCCTAATATTCTATATTTACTGGTTGATGGCACAGCTGTGGAAATACAAATAATGGCATGTACCTGGCCTCTTATTTACTGTCACATTCAACCCCTGTGTTCTATTTCTTCAGCTTCCCACCCTCTTCCAGCTTAAAAGGATCTAAGGCATTGAGTAGATTTTTAATATCTCCTATGTTCCATCTCTTCAGTGTCTTCCTGCCTTTTTCAAGCTTAAAGGGTTCCAAGGTATTAGGAGGTATTCCACTCTCATGATCAGACAGGTGGTCAAAATTTACTTGGGCAGAACTCTGTGTCACCAAACTTAAAATCAGGTTTGTGTTTCTACCGCATTTTCATGGAAGTCCAGACCTCCAACCTGATTACAACCATCACGGTCACCTCCCATATTACTCTGTACTCCCAGTCTGCAATGGTTTTCTTTGCACTGAAAAGCTCAATAAAGACAGAAGATCCTATTAAAAACAGTTCTTACGCAGCAGGAAACCATAGGAGGACAGCTGGGAGTCCAGGGAAGATCATGGACCAGGAGACAGGTTCTTCTAGATTCAGCCTATTGAGTCGCTATCTGAACAAAGGCTGACTCTGTGACTCAGTACCCTTTTGAATATAATAGGCCAGTAGCACCTGACCTGCAGTAACAGCAAGACGATGAAGTAGAACTAATAAAAGTCCTGTCACAAGGAGAACAGGTACTCAGTGAAGTGGTTTATTTTTCGTTGGGGTTGCCTTCCTTTTGTTAACAATGGATATTATAAAGTGACTGACATCAAACCCAGTTATCAGAGGTTAACTACCTCAACAGGGTTAAATATCATTCTCAAGGTCGAAGCAATAAAAGCCTGTTGGGAGCCGAATTCAAGTTCTTAAACTCCCACTAATGCCTTAATGCTCTATCCTCCACAAAGAAGAAATGCTGAAATCTGACTTAATGAAATGAACTGTGAGTCTTCTTTTGTAGAAGATTTTTAAAGTGTGGATATTTTTACACTTTATTCCGCCACTCTTAAAAGCATCAAATACCGAAAGTAGGACTTACAGGCATTTTGTATGAGCTAAAATAAGTAAACAAAATTTTAAAATGTAAATGTTTCATCTGGAGTTCATGTGGATTATTTCCGTGTATCTGATACATTCACTGGCCCTTGTATTTTAGGAGGATTGGTTTTTACATTAATAAAACGAAACTGAAATTAAGGCTTTATTACTAATATTTGACCTGCTTGAAGATTAATTGAAAGGCCCTGAATATGTTGTCATTACTGAATCTATCACCTTTATGTTAGGATGGCTAATAAGGAGCACTGTTTGTCTTTTGTGGAGTCTCAAAGTGAGTCAAGTATTCTTTCCATATTCAAAGCTATCCTACATTGAAAGATAATATATGGCAATTATGAGTTATTACCATTTTAGTCGTAAGCCTCTCTTAGGTACAAATGTGGTACCTTAAATGGAGGTTGGCATGTGTCAGTGTTGATAGGTGAAGATGTATTGATTGAGTCATGATTTCTGTATGGATAATTTTGTCCCAGAGAAGGAAAAATGATCAATTTTTTTTCTAGCTATATAAGAAGCTGCCCAGGTAAGTTGCAAAGCCCGCTGTTATGGACCTCATCTACATTCAAACAGTGTTTCAAACTTCTTCATCCCAAAATGCAATGCAAATTAAGGAACAATCTGAGAACACATAGCTTTATAAACTTGAAATCTGTGGGTAGGTAGTGTGGAGTTGAATGGAAATAACACAGGGACATTTCAAGGCTTTGAAAGTACTGCTTGTAACACCATAATAGTAGATGCATGTCATTCTTCCAAATCCATGGAATTTACATAAAGTGTGACACCTAATGTAGACGGCGGACTTGGGGTGATAATAATACACCTTCCAGGGAGGTTTGCCACTTGTAACAAACGTACCAGCCTGATAGAGCATGTTGGTGACAGTGTGTGGAGGAGGCCAGAGGCCTATTGAAACTCTTTGTACCTTACTCTCAAACATGCTGGAACCTGAAGCAATCCAGATAAATGAAATTATTTAGGAAATAAAGTAAAACAAAAACTTTCCCAGTTCAAAAAGCATAAACAACAAAGAAAAGATCTAATGGAAGAAAATATGAGATGAAAAATATGTCTGGGACACTTGTTCTCTGGAATCAAGTAATAAAATACTTTAGGCCAATTCATACCAAAAAATGAGTACAGTGGGCTCACTGCTTCAATAGGGTCTCACATTCACCAATTACTGTCTGGTATAGGCTGATTTACCTTCCCCCACTCCCAGCATTTTTCTAGTTATATTCCTTACACTTTCAAGTTTTGGCAGCTAATTCAACTGCATTGAGCAATATGGCTACTAATCTGTGGATTGTGTTTATATTCTTCTTGCTGATCTTGATCTATCCCTTCTCTATTTTAAGTTTATTTTCCTATTTCTGCTTTTTTTTTTTTGACATTTAACAAACTGTGCTTTTTAAAGTCACTAAGACAAAGTGCATTTGTAAGGAGGGAGTTGAGTTTCTTGAGCTTTGAGGAAGTAACCCATAACTGCAATAACAGGAATATTTCTCAAAGAAAATCACCAAACACCAATATGCATGCCCAAGTCTGAGTGTGGAAATACCCACCCACGGTTATTCCTGTGCATATTCTGAAGTTCTGTTCTAAGTCATTCCAAAGTGCCATTATAATGCTTTCCAGCAACCTTTCTACAGACTGTAGCTATTTTTATAAAACATTCTCATGTACCCAATAAAGAGTTCAGCTAAAGTCCTGAGCTCATTAGGACAGTGAATGAAAAATGATGCCATTAGGATTGGTAACCTTACATAGTACTTACTACGCACCCAGCAGTTTCTGAGAGCTTCAGCTCCTCTTCTCTGTGATCACAGTGAATCAGTATGGGGACACTCAGAGTTTAACTTTATTCTGATACTCATTGACATGGACAACTGTGATAGAATCCAGAAGTCTCAGGAGGAAGATGCAAGAGAGGCAAGTTGCAGATTCATAGACACTTACCTAGGATAACAGGTTTCTCCCCAGCAACAGTGATGCTTCTGCTGTCAGACATGCCTTCTGGCCTAAGGCAGGGCTTGTTGGCTCTTTTGGATCCCCTGTTTTGTCCAGCCACATCATTCAGCCCATTTTTACACGGTAAATGTATTGTCTGTCGTAGGGCCTATGAGATTTCATCACAAAAAAATAAAAAGAAGTATGTTTACGTCAGAAATCTCATTACATTTGAGAGGCAAAAGTTATTTACTAATCAGAGAATTCATCAGAATTGTGAACACATTGTGCCTTTCTAATTTTTTTCTTGAGATGGTTTGTTTCCAAATACATTCTTACCACCCATTTCAAACAGAGATCCTTCTCTGGCCCTGAAACAATAGATGAAAAATATCCAGGAAACACAGGCAAGAACAAGAAAGAAAACACACAAGACCATTTCCCTATGCAACTACTATGCTTCTGTATGATACTGTACATGTATTTATTCTTCAACTAATTGATTTGATGTATAGTTACTGAGTCCTGCTATACTTCAGACATCACTCCTGGGCTAAGAATCACACATCACAAGAACCCAACAAAGATAACCATATTTATATAGTTTGTAGCCTTCAATGGAAGAAGGGCATATAATGAATAATTAGATGGGAAATAAATGCATTGTATAAGGTGTTTGTACACTTAGGATAGTGTAGGAAAAAGTCAAGCCAGAGATAAGGATACTAAGGAACAATTATAGTAGTCAGAGTGGTCAGAGAAGCCTCCATGAGAATGTGGAAAGGACCTGAAGCAGGCAGTAACCTGAGGTATGTGAGCTCTCTAGGCAGAGCACATGTCCAGTGGCAAAATCCAGAGAAGACTCCAACACAGTGTCTAGACTCTTCTAAAATGGGCAAGAAGCTTAATGTGGCCAGAGTGCCAGAGGGGCACACTCTAAAAGATACAAAGTCACAGACATGGCATATAGTCCAAATGCATAGAACTTTGTAGTCTGTGACAAGGACATACAGGCTCTAAGATCTACAATTAATAAATGGGACCCCTTGAAACTGAAGAACTTGTGTAAAGCAAAGAATACTATCAATAGAACAAAAGGGCAGTCTACAGATTGGGAAAAGATCTCCACCAATCCTACATGTAACAAAGGACTAATATCCAGAATTCTACCAGAACTGAAATGTAGTGCTATAGTGAGTTTCTAAGCACAGAAATGGCCTGACCAGTATTGTGTTTGAAAAAAAATATCCCTGTGTTAATAGTTACAGGAAGGTTTATTTGGGGCTTATGGTTCCAAAGGGTTAGAGAGCTTGACCATCACAGCAGGGAGTACGGCACCAGGCGGACATGGTCCTGGGGCCAGCGGCTGAGAGCTAACATCTGAGTCCACAAACAGGAAACACTGAAAGTGAGCTGACTACAAATGTCCTTTTAAACCTCAGAAGCCAACCTCAATCACACGCTCCTTCCAGCAAGGGTACACCTCCAAATCCAACCGAAACAGTCACTAACTGGAGACTAAGTGTTCAAATGCCCAAGACTAATGGGGGCCACCTCAGTCAAACCACCACACATTGGTAAGAGGCAAGAATGTGTTAAATTTAGGGAAAGCTTATTCAAATGGTTTTCCAGGAGAGCTATGAATATAAACAATATGTGAATACGTACCGTTTCTATCCGTGGCATAGTGTAATAGTTTTCCTACTTTGAATTATCAAAATAAAAAATGTGTTTCTTTCCTTAGCTACTGGCAAATAATTCTTAAAACCTATACTCCAGATTTAAAATCCCTAGACACATCAGAATGGTCCACTATTCCATACTCTCCACCGACACACTTCTTGTCATTCCTTCTCTGCTCCCCGCGTAGCTCAGCCCAC